AATAAAGATTAATTATAATATAATTATTATTATTAGTAATATAATTATTATATATATTATTATATTTTTATAACAATCTGGATATACCAAAATAAGAGAGATCTAGAGATAGTACAAGTACGAGATTATATAATTGAAGATAACTTAAATGAAATAATTTGTACTACTTATACTAACAACATATATGTACTTTTCGGTAGCTTATCTCATTAGAATTTTACAGTTAAGTGTATTTGATTTAGAGTAATATAAGGATGGGTAACCTTTTGGACATAAATTATATACGTAAGGACAAAACATGCTAAAAAGTCAAGTGTCGTGAAATAAAATCTTTGAGTAGCTAAATATAAGGGGTATTATATTAATAAAATTTATTAAAATTAAACAAAAATTTTATCTATCGAAATCACATAAAGATTCTCAAATAATTTCTGACAGATTTTTTATTTCGATGCCCCTTTTTTGGACAGAAATTCCTATTTACCGACAGATTATGTCCGTCGAAAATTTACATTTTTCTTATAGTAACCTATAACAACCTAACCAAGGACATAAACTTGATTATGTATGTTACCAAGCTAATATGCCGATCTCTATTAATAATTAGAGAACATGTACAATCAAGTTGGTATATCAACTCAGTATTTATATTTATATTAAAAGATAATAATCATGAAAGATAATTTATTTACACGTCAATAATATCAATTATAAAATTAATATAAAAAAAAACATTTACAATTAACAATAAAAAAGATATATATATAATATAACAAATAAAAATATTATATAGATTAAACTAACTTGATTCTTTTTATAAATACCTCTCACTTGAAAATAAAAATCAACAACAATACAAACTAACATCAATTTACAAGGATGAAAAAAGATTTTATGAGATAATTTCATCATCCAAATTCATCCTAATAAAAACAAAATTCAATAAAATAACCATATCATACTAATATAAAAAAGATATACACGTAAACTACCTGTATCCAACACTATATACTTATACTCCAATAAATAATAAATAAAGAGTAACCCTTTTCACCTTAGTTGTTACCGATGCAATTGGTCATGCCAAATAGTGTTATCAAAGTAACAGTCAAAAAACCTATCTGCTACAACATCTATATGCACACGGACTAATTATTTTTTAAGCCTAAAGATTAACAAAGTAATTTTTTTCTTTTCTAAAATATTGTTTACCGACTGAACCTTGATAGTCCGGATAATGTATACAGTACTATAGAGAATGACATGAGGCTGCGTATCCGTCCCAGTAGAAAGTTTTTGTCTCTTGAAAAGAGTTGTGGGTATCTTTTATTTTTCAAAACAAGCTTTTTGGAAACACTCAACATAATTATTATCATGATGTGGATGTAACAATCAGTGTCCTTAACAAATAAGAGGAATGATATGCATTTCTGAATCAATGTTTCGCACCATTCAATTATTTATATTTATAAAATATTTTAAACAATTTATTTTCTTAAAATTTTATTATTTTAGAATTTTAAGCATTTAGAGGATTTTTTAACTAAATTTTTTTGGAGGATATATCATTTCTGTTAAAAAACAATATAATAAGACTTTCTTTTGAAGAGAACAGCCGAAAGTTCCTCTTAATACACAGTAAAAATTTTATTTATATTTAACTTATAACTAATTAAATATATTTTTAATTTTTAAAATTTATAATAATTTTTTTCTTTTCAAATTTAAAATAGTTGTTTTAATCAAATAATTTTAAAAAGTTTTATTTGGATCTCTTATGTCATCAATAATATTTAAAAAAGATAAGTTGAAATATGTTTTTACTAATAAAGATGTTAGTAACTAGATTTTGTAAAAATTAAAATATTTTTTAAATGAAATTGGCTTTAAAAATTAAAATAATTTTTTAAAAAAATTATAAAGACTAAAAAATTAAAAATAAATTTCCCTTAAAATTGAGTGCATAAAAAGTAAAATGGGAACATGTTTGGGAGATGAGAATTTTTTACGGAAATGGAATTTTTTTTTAAAAAAAATTTACCAAAAACGCACCTGTTACACTTTATTTACACATCTAGCACCATTCACCGTTCATATTCAGAATTCGATTCTCAGATAACCGAATTCTAAGCTTCAAATTTTTTTTTTATCAGAACTCGGTTCCCGAGAAACCGAATTCTGAGTAATTTTTAATATTTTTTTGTTTTTTTGGTTTGTGGTCGAGAGTGTGCGAATCTTAGAACTAGAACGGGCCGCATAACTCTAGAACGTCCCCTTCTGCAGCCGTTCCATTTTCAAAATTAACATTCTATGTGTGCAAGCGGAACGGACCGTTCTGTTTTCAGAACGGGTCGTTCTAGTTTCAAGACTCGCGCAAATTGTTCCACCAACAAAAAAAAAATCAAAAAACTATTTAAAATTCGGTTTTCCAGGAATCGAATTCTGATCACAAAAAAAAATAATTTGAAGCTCAGAATTTAATTTCTCGAAAATCAAATTCTGAATATAAACAGTGAATGATGCTAAATATGTAAATAAAGTGTAGTAGATGCCTTTTTGTTATTTATTTATTTTTTTTTAAATTCTAGTTCCGTAAAAAATTCTGGGAGATGACATCGAGAGGATTAATCATTTTTCAATTAAAAATGGGTCCTCGTAACAGTAGGATAGTACAGAGTACGTCAATACTCAATAGATGGTGTGCAGTACAATACATAAAGAAGGCTACATAAAGCAGATAAGCAATGGAATGGGACACAAATATGAAATATATATGGCTTATGCTGCATTTGTTCTTTATCTGCATCAGATCTAGACTTGGGGTGGGATATTTCTTTAGGACTATGGTTTGGACGAGTCACTACTCAGCACAAAACATGCTAACTAATTCATGGCCACTGCAAGAGGGTAATGTTCATCACTTCATGTTAGAGCAGGCCATGGCTTAATTCTATGTATGGTTCCTTCTACCCTGAGGTAAATCTCTCTTGGTTATGTACTGTCTCATAACTTTTTATTAGTTACACCTTAACGTTGGATCGTATCCTAACACTTCTTTTCTATCCAATCTTGGCAAGCTTCTACTCCAAAATCCGGTATTGGTTGATAGCACAGAAGAGTTCAGTTGCCACTTGTCCAATCCATAGTTTTAAAGAAATGAACCCCTCAAGAATTTTGTTTAGGTGAGATCGTTTTCAGCATCAAGCTATGTATATGCCCTTCCATGTGAGGTATGCTTAATTCCATGGCAGCAGGTTTACTTTTTTATTATTATTTTATTTATTTATTCTTTAACTAGAAGATAAAGCTTTCTCCTACCAATTATGTCTTTTTTAAGAGTATGGTGATCCATTTAATTACTTCTCTATGTTGAACATAGAAATTGAATCTTGATCTTTATTTAAAAAATATAAATATCAAATTATTTATGCTAATAATTTTTAGGTTTAAATATGTTTTTAGTCTCTCAAATTTAGAGTAAATTTATTTTTGGTCTCTCAAATTTAAAATTGATATTTTTAGTCCTTTTAATTTTAAATCTAATTAATATTATATAACAATCTTAATATGTTACTTTCAGATAAGTTATTAGTGATTTGAGAGACTAAAATAAGATTTTTAAAAATTACAGGGACTAAAAATAACGATTTTAAATTTGAGGAATCAAAAATAAATTTATTTTAAATTTGAGGGACTAAAAATATATTTAAATATAATTTTTAATATAACAATGTAACAAATTAAGTTAAATTATATTTATTAGTTTTTTAAAATTTATTTTAGGATATTTTTGATACACTAAAAATATTATTAAAATTTAAATGGGAAGTGAATTTCTATATCAATTAGAGTATATACATTAAATAATATATAAATAAAAAAAATATCAAATAATTTAAAATTTTAAGTTATATTACGATATCAAATTCACTTATATATTTATAATTTACTTATTATTCTTTATGCAAAATACTAAAACTCTCCCAATGAAAAAACTAAGTTTGAACTTCTAATTTATAACTTTCTGAAAAATTATTTAGTGCATGCTTATTTTGTCATTAAGAATAGTTAAATGAACATTGAATTCATACCATTTAGAATAGTTAAATGGACATTGAATTCAATCTATCTACATTTATATTTTTCTATTTGAGTAGATGAAAATGTGTATGAATGAATAATGAAACTAATCTTAAGCAAGCTGAGTTAAGCACTCATGCACTATTTGTCCAATTCTAATGACTTATATCTCGGGGTCCATTTTTACCTCCGTTGGCGAAGTTGAATGTTTTAAAAATTTGGCTGCTGCAACGTCGTTACTATTTTAAGTTTCTCTTTGATCGAGTATGACGATAACATGGCACTCGAAAGCTGCAAAGTTTGCTGCTGAAGAGAGCTGGCACCCATTATTTTAATTTAGCAAAAGTGAGATCCTGGATTAATTTCTGATTTAACAAAAGTCAAATCATATATAACTTTCTAATTTAACAATATTTTAACCAAACTTAACCATGAGTTGTAAAAGTGTGAGTGCTTGGAATGAAGTTTTAAGGCAGAAATCACTAATTGGATCGGATAATGAAGTTTTAGTCTAAACTGTGAACACTCAATTTTGTTCGGAAAAAAACCAGATTAGAAAGAGAAAAAGTGATTAAAATAAATAATGACAAAATAAAAAAATAAATTTTAACCAGAAATGGGATTTGGTCCCACATGTAAGATTGTACTTTCAAAGTGACATAGACAACAAAAAAAAATGAATTTGAGTGAGAATAGACACAGACAAAAAAGGATTTTAAAGTTCTCATTTCAATATAACACATAGCTTCTGTTCGGTAGCGATCAAACAAATAAATGAGGAAAAAAGTGAAAACAAATAGATAAAAAATTAAATAAAAATAAATAAGAAAAGGAGACCTATCACTTTTTAATTTCTCTTTACTTTATTTTTTTTATAATTAAACAATCTATCTTATTTATATTTTCTTATTTTCATTGTGTTTCTTCGTAACACACCAAAGTAGAGGAGGGGGGTCTCATTTTTTTTTCTGATGGAAGAGAACACAACGAGGAATACATTGTTGGAGATACCCTCATTCAGGTATACACGTCAAGACTTAGAAACCAACAAACATCTCCAAACGAACTCACAGCCTTAAAGCTCTCACTCATTTTTTCTTCATCCCACACAAGCATCACTTACTGATCATTTTCTCCTCGATCTATACATGAAACTAAAATCCACTGACTCAAAAAAAGAAAAAACCCTCACACACACTCCCTCTCATAGTCTCATTGCCCATTAGCATGGCAGCCATGGCCTATGAGCCTCCATGAGAGCACAAATACTGTCCATACCCACTACGTAGGCTCTCTCCCCACGCATTATTCATACCACACCTTCAAACTAAGACCTTGATTTTCACCTCGCTCCTCCATACTTTGTTTAATAAATAAAATATATTTGATTATGGAGCGAGATAAATATTTTTAAAAAATTATAAATAATTTATTTAATTAATTAGGATAACTATCTATACGATGTACGATGTAGGGAAGGGTGTTAATATATCCTCTGCACATAATTAATTCAAACTCAACATCTAATTTCGTGTACCATCTTATATTTTGTGATATTTTTTTAAATAAACATTAATAGTAATTCCCTATTTTTAATCTGTTTTTTTCGTCTCGACCTAAGTTGCTACATAAACCAAGAATTATTATGCAAAATATAACCATTATAAGGTGTGCATGAACATATAAATTAACATTTATCTAATCAACATCGCCTAATGGGTTAGTTTCGCCTATTTAAGTTTTAACCTGCAAAATTTGCATATTTAACTTATTGGATAAGTTCAACTCACAAAATAATTGACTTTTTTTTTTTTTATGTAGTTGTTTGCAAAATTCGTGAGTTTTGCTAGACGGACTTAACTTACCCTAAACTTATGAAAAAAAATAAGTTTGTTAACTATGCGGACTACAAGTTTTGCGTGCCAACTCGCAAACCTTAAGTCCATATTATATATATATATATATATATATATATTTAATTTACTACGTATGTGGTAACCTTTTTCATACCTAAGGCAGCTGAGAAGAAACAATCTGCATAGAATTGAGGTTGGAATTGAGGGAGGAGCTCTCTTCCTGTGATTTTGAAGAGTCAAGGAATCAGAAGAAAAAGTCAAATAGCAATCTACAGCAGAGTTTGTGGAAGAAAGTTAACATTTTGAGTTGAGCAAGATAAAAGGGTAGAGACTAGAGACCTGTGGTAGAGGAAGGTGGATGGTAGAAGAAAGAAAAGAGCCAAGAAGTTTGAGTAAACAATGAAAACAAAGTTACTCATTCCATTGGTGTTTGCTGCTTTGAATATAGTGTTCAAACCCACTTCCAAGAACTGAATTGCAACCATTGCTGCTGTTACACTTACTTCTACTCCCATATCATTCCTTTTCCTCTGATGTCCTATTCTCTCTTCATGTTCATCCACCTGGTTTACTTATATTTCTAAGTAACTCAAAATCTGGATACATTCAATTTTGTCAACTCCAACCAATCAAATCAAAATTTAACAAATAGATAAATATTAATTATAATTAAAACTTAATTATATTTTGCGTCTGTAATCTTTTACTTTATAACAAATTTTGTCCTTAAATTATATAATATTGCGCATTGCACTCCTCCATTTGTATTTTAAGAAATAATTGATGGAGGGATAAATCACATTATTTCAAAATTTGCCAGTAAAATTTATGAAAAAATTATTTCAAAATGATGTGAAAAGAATTAGTAAAAGGTAGATACTACTTAGGCATAAAAAATATATATTTTTCTTTCTATTTTTAAAATATCCTTTCAGAAAAAAAATATTGGCTAGGCATAAAATTATCTACATGCTGTGTAGTTTGTTGAGTTATTCGGAGACAGTCTGGGACGTTGGTTATATATACTTTGGTTCATGTGTTGTGGACATACTACGTATGTGAATTGTAACAAAGAAAAAGAGCATACTACATATGTGAAAGCGAAATTATTTGCTATTGATGAAGGAGTGAAGTTTGCATGGGTGTTGATTTTTTTAATTTATATGTTGCAACATGCACGAACCATATTTTAGTTTATCACGTATCAGATTCGTTGCTAGCTGTACAACTTATTGAATGAATCACCCTCTTGCACCAATCATTAACAAGATTCCAAGATTTCAAGATCTCTTTTTGAAGTAATCAGGACAGTAAGACCTTCTTGTTCTTGATTCCTTTCCCAACCTCTTTGGCTCCAGCACTTGAGAACAGATGATATTGGGACATCTTTCTACTACTGCTTTTAATTTTGTCTTGTATGTATTCACACTGATTTTTATTTATTAATTTTTTTTACAAGTTATGTCTTATTTTTTATTGTCCACGCATATAATTCAACATTTTTTTTAAAAAAAAAAGTTGCATATTTTTATTCATTACATGTATTGTTTCTACGTTGTCCTCTTCCAATTTTTTATTTTTATTTTTATCACTCTCTTCTTTACATTTTAAAAAATTATATTTTACATTTATATATTTTTATTTTTTAAAAATTCAACCGAACTAATTGGAGACTAGATATATATCCCAATAGGGTGATCGAACTGGAATAAAATATTATATCTTAATTTTTTATTTATTATTATTATCTTTTATTCTAGGAGTAAGTCTACCTATACTTACTTTGTTCAATAACTCATGTTCAACATCAAATTTCAATGATCCAACCATTCAATTTAAAGTTCTTAATGCATAGATCAAATTTACAAATTTTTAGAAAATTTGAAAATCATTTGATACTTCATTTCATTAATTCAAATTGACGGATAATCATAAAATCATTTTATACATTGATTCAAATTAATGAAACGAAGTATCAAATGATTTTCAAATTTTCTAAAAATTTACAGATTTGATTTATGCATTAAGAACTTTAAATTGAACCATTGAATCATTGAAATTTGATGTAGAATATGAGTTATTGAACGGAATAAATATAGGTAGACTTACTCCTGAAATAAAAGAATCCCTCCTCTATTATTATTATTATTATTATTATTATTATTATT